TCTCAAATTACATACCAAAAAACACATTTTAAATGGCACAGAAATAAATCCCACATACCTCAACAGCATAAGGAACATTGCAATCAAATCAGCAATTTATAATTTGTAAAATTCTGAGAAGTGGTATAGCGGAACATTGGAGTATAGAAGAAGCTCAGGATCAGTGAGACTCCGTCGCCACCTTATGGACTCTTTCATGCAGCAATCTTTGTACAGCTCATCAACTGACTTTAGTCAGCCATTCAGCCATTCACTTGGAAAATAAATAGGCATAATCCTTACGTAAAAGCTTTAGCTTTCCCTGACAATGAGCTTTGATACAAATACTCTTGGCATAGAATTCATCCTCTTTTGGCGACATGTAGGTATGACATATAGACAGTCAGGAATTGACAAGCCTATATTTGTCTTAGATTTTATGTAATTGTGATTTACACTCTAAATTTGTACTTGTATTGTTTCATTAATATTTATAATATATTTGTTTATTTTATATTTGTATATATTTGTAATATATATTTCTTTAATTAAAAGGTTTGCATGCATGCTTCATCAATAATCAAACTGTCATCGTTGTTATTAATAAATCTAGATACCAATAAAGCTAAATTGTGTATATCAGCTCCCTTCTTACATTTAAAAGACATAGATCAAGTTGAACAGTTTAAATGCCCCACCTGTCATTTGACAAACACATCTACAACGATGTATACTTCGTCATCAGAAATGTAGATAGAACATGCAGACATCACACACACACACACACACACACACACACACTTAATCTCTGAAACTGGCTGAGCAATAAAAGATACACCTAACATGATTCATGTCAAAAGATTTCCCATATTTACTGGTCTCTGAGCATTCTTACACAGTCAATTCCAGAATATTATTAAGCAACATATATTAAACGTATGTAAACAATGTCTGTCAATGTACCATGAGTGAAAAAAAGGGAAGTATTTTGTATGTGGGGGTGCTGTCCTGTGTTTGACATATTCTTTTCTGATGATTAACTTGCTGGAGATGTCATGAATTATTGCAAAACATATTTTGAAACTTCTGCATTTTAGACTCCTTTAGACAATGGTTATATTTAGTCAGGTATATTTAGTCTTTATATTTAGCAAGTTTTAACAATATTTTATTCTTTCTATAACTATTCTTATATAAATTTGTAACCACAAAAGTTTTTTAACTATTTTCGAATACAAAAAAATGTTTATTTTCAATAATTATACAGAATTCAGAAGAAAATATTTTGAAGAATGTTGGTAACCAAACAGTTGATGCTATCGACTTCTGTAGTATGGGGTTAAAAATATTATGGAAGTCAATATCTACCGTCAACTGTTTGGTTACCAGCATTCTTCAAAATATCTTCTTTTTACTGTAAACAAAAGAAGGAAACTCAACCATGTTTGGAACAGCTTGAGGATGAGTAAATAATGACACAGTTTTCATTTTTTGGGTGAACTAACCCTTTAAGGGTCGGTATCGGGCGATGTATTTGACAAAACATATGCAACATTATTAGGCTATATATTACCAACGGCCTTTGTTAAGGGCGCCAAAAGACAAATATTTTGTGCTAGATGAACAGTATTACGACTAACAAATTCACTAGAGAAAATTCTTTAAAACGATGACGAAGGTCATTGCATAATTCGCACACATCGTATTTTTCGGATTAGTTTCACTAAAAGTTTGATCTGACTTAAATATCACTAATCATCATGGCGAGCCGTCATGTTGTTTCCATAACTAAAATAGAAGCTGCTAATAGATATCATCGTCAGGTTAAGTCATATTCAGACATTTACACGCCCACCACTTTGACTGCAGTTGTGAATTTCGTAATGAGATGTGACGTATGTTAGGGTTTCAGTAGAGTATTTAACTTCTGGAAACTAGGGCAGCTCATCACACACTCTCTGCAGGATGTGGACCGCGCTTCTCCTGCTGGGACTCGCTGTTCTGTTGCTGTACGCGAGACGCACGAGGTGAGTCCGAACCAGTCCGACCAGCTCCTGAGGCTGACAGACGACACTTCAACTTTACAAAGACGCCCAAATAATTACGAATTAAACATGTCGTTTTTTGCAGACGAAGAAATGAACCTCCTCTTGATAAAGGAATGATTCCTTGGCTTGGTCACGCGCTTGAGTTTGGAAAAGATGCTGCTAAATTCCTGACACGAATTAAACAGAAGCACGGCGACATTTTTACTGTGAGTTCTTGTTAAGTCGCGTTTTGGTTGAGTAAAATAACACTAGAATTAAATCAGCAGCCTGCCATAATGGTATACATTTTACTCCCCTTAACAGAACAAACTGCACTATATAAATATTTATATATTTTGGAGTTTGCTTAAATAATTAAAAGTACAAATATTTCATATAGTCTCTCAATTAAGGTCCAATTAAAAGAATATATATATATTCTAATTTGACCTAAGCTATGCATAATATAGGCTATATATTATACATGTGCATAATATATTGTATATTATTATCGATCATATGATTTTTGTTATGACTTATGACTGCAAGGATGACTTATGACATTCTTGTTGTCGCAATTCTGCAGTTGTGAGTTCCAATACTAGTACTTTGACTTTATTTGTTCATACTTGTGTAAGGACCCACCCGCCAGCCCAAAAAGCGGAATCCAGCGGCCTGGTCGAAGGTTTAATGCGTATCCGGTGCAACTAAGATTTACAGCTACAGCTTCTCCTAATGGTACATTTTACTGATGCAGTGTGGCTGATTATGAAATGAATATAGGTCTGCAGAATATTAATATTAATAGAATATAATAAACTAGTAAACGTCACATTTATAAGAATGAACACACTATGTATTTTACAAATTTTAATAGTGACGACAATGTGCACAACAATGTAGCTGAAGCTGCAATTATTCCAGGTGTCGGGCCACTTCAGCCCTCTTAACTTGAGACCCTTGACAATCCGAAGTACTGAGGAAATGACCTGAGCTGTGTTTCTCAAATGCATTGTGAGCTAAGTTGATCATTGGGACCATTAGTGGCAGTGGTTCTACACGCTTACGATGTTATTGGGAAATGCAGCCCTAGCCCTTATTTGGCTGTTTTTTTTTTTTAAATAAATCTTTATCTAGATATTGCAACTGTATAAGGGTTAAGATGACAATCTTGCTGTCAATCATGACATTTCCTGTGCCAACTTCCTTTAACTTTTTTCAGCACTAACCACACTAATCTAATGTGAAGCAGGTGCGTGCAGCTGGACAATATATCACTGTTCTACTGGACTCAAACTGCTATGATGCTGTCCTGTCCGATGTGGTCTTGCTTGACCAGACCAGCTATGCCCAGGTCCTAATGAAGAGAATCTTCAGCCTGAATCTGCCCAATCACAACCCTGAATCGGAGAAGAAAAGGGCAGAAATGTAGGTTTCTAATAATGTTAAATGTCTCTGTCTGAACTACTGTCATCTTGAGAATTTGTTTTAAATATTTTTTAAGATACTTTCAGATACTGAATAGATCTTTTGGTAACATCAAGGCTGAAATATCAATTAATTTGAACCATATATAAATATGTGTTTGTGTGTGTTTGACTAGGCATTTTCAGGGGACGGCTTTGACCCAACTCTGCAGCTCAATGCAGGACAACCTCCAGCACCTTGTGACCCCCTCAGAAATGGGCCTCAAAGTATCTGAGTGGAAAAAAGATGGACTCTTCAATTTTTGCTACAGCTTGCTGTTTAAGTACGCCAATCTCTCAAATCAACATGCTAGTAACCCTCTGAAATCTGTAAGAGCTGTTTCTCACAACAAGCATAAGCGTTGATGTGAAATCATTGAATCAGATTACAAAATTCACCACAGCTGCAAGTACAGCTTCAGTGCTGAGGCTAATTTTGTCACGCTTCGTGAGAACTCGGCAGAAAGCATGTTGAAAATGCATTATGAAAATGAAAATGTAATGATTAAGTTTGTAATAAATCTCAATTGTCACTTCCTGATAACCATTTCATAATTTATGGCCGTTATTGGAGCAAGTACTTAATGTAGAGCATTAACTGTTATGAAACAAACAAAAAAAAAAATGCTTCATTTACGCACTACTTGAGTATGTAGGCTTAATACTTCGTTTGGCATTCATTCTGTACCCATCAACAAGCAGAGACTGTCCCACCCAAAAGCTGGTACAATAATTATCACTCACTATTGTACAGATAAGACCTGATGTCATGTCTCCACTAGGTGCAGCTTCGTTATCTCATGAATGCCTTCAAGTCATGCAGTAAAACATGGTATTTTGTGACAATGGTGAAAAGTAAAGGCTTGAATGTTGTACTACAAATCTTAACGGTGTGGAAAAACCTGATTTCATGGGAAAATGATTAAGGCTCATACCTCTCAATTTCTGCCTTTTTCTCTACAGGACTGGCTATCTCACTGTGTTTGGCACAGAGAAGAACAATAGCGCAGCACTAGCAGAAATTTATGAGGAGTTTCGCCAGTTTGACAAGCTTTTGCCTAAACTGGCTCGAACTACTGTAAACAAAGGTAATGTAGTTTCATTTGAAAGAAATTGCTTAGAAAAACAGATGTTCATTCTTCCATTATTTTTTTCTTTTTAAATTAATTTTCATTAGACGTGATTTATATAACTAACCTGTGTTTCTTTTTCATACGTTCATTAGAGGAGAAACAAATTGCAAGTTCAGCACGAGAAAAACTGTGGAAATGGCTGACTCCAACAGGTTTAGACAGAAAGTCAGAACACCAGTCATGGTTGGGGAACTATGTACAGCAACTGCAGGATGAAGGCGTTGATGCTGAGACTCAGAGGAGAGCCATGCTGCTTCAGCTATGGGTCACGCAGGTGAGTTTCTCCCTGTCTCTATCACTTAGTTGTCCTTTTACAACACATACTGGCAAAAAAAAACATTGAATGCATTGGGAAAAAAATGTTCCTAGATGACATTGTTATAATAAACATACACTATCATTCAAAAGTTCAAGCTGGTAAGATGTTATTGAGAGAAGTCTTTTATACTCACCAAGGCTGCAATAATTTGATATGAAACTACAGAAAAAAATAGTAATATTGTGAAATATTACAATTTAATATAATCTATTTTAATATATTTTAAAATGTAATTTTCAGCAGCCATTACTCAAGTCGTCACTGTCACATGATCATTTAGAAATCATTCTAATTAGTTGATTTGGTGCTCAAGAAATATTTCTTTTTATTATCAGTTTAAAACAGTTGTGATGCTTACATATTTGTGGAAACCATGATACAGGATTTTTTAGGATTCTTTGAACAGAATAGCATTTATTTGAAATAGAATTCTTTTGTAAAATGTCTTTATTGTCATTTTTGATCAATTTAACTCATCATTGTGTAACAGAAGTGTTAATTTCTTTCAAAAAATAAAAATCACACTGACCCTAAACTTTTGAATGGTTATGTACTTCAAATTTTTCCTGTTCTTTTTCATAACAGGAAAGTGGATGATCATTTAAATTACCATGCCCCAAAATAGACAATAAACCTTTATGGCTTCAGAAAACTTATATAGATACTTTATGGTGCTTTTTGTCCATTTTGGAGCTCGGCAATATAAATGACCATTTATTTTTCATTGTATGGAAGATCTCCTTTTGTATTTCACTGTGAAAACTGAAAAATAATACAGGGTTGGAACAATACAAACTATTGTGTTAAGTAGTAGTTCATCATCATGAACATTAGGGTAAACTATTCCTTTAAAAATTCCTTTTGACTGATAGCATGCTTAATTACTCAAAACTACATAGTAGTGACACACTGATACCTCAAGGTTGACATAGGAATAGGCTGTTGTAAACAAAAGAGTCTGTCACCTCTGGAATGTGTGAGTGTGTGTGATTTCAATCCAGTTCCACAGAACATGAACACAGAACCTGACAAGCTGCCCAAAGCACACCTGAGACGCCATAGCCTGAGGCCAAACAACACCTACTGAATGATTCCTTTGTAACTGAAGGGAATTAGGCAACGCAGGTGTGGAAGCATCCCTACTATATATAATGCATTTGACAGAATTATTACATGCATATTAGAGAAAGTTGAATCAAGCTTGTTAACACAATCACATATAAAATGTCTACATAAACACCATGAGGCATAATTAAAGGATTAGTTCACCCAACAATGACAGTTATGTCATTTACTCATCCTCATGTTGTTCCTGTATAACTAAGCCCGTATAAGTTTTTATGGAACACAAAATGCAATGTTCATGCATATGAGGCAGAATGTTCACAGTGTTCTTTCCATATACTGAAAACAGTTCTGCTTGTATGCAAACACAAAGTAGTTTATATGACTACAAATATAAGTCAAAAGGGTTTGGAATGACAAGGTAAATTAAGAAATACATTTTGTAATACTGTATAATATACAATTGCTTGAATTGCAACGATTCCTTCATTTAAAAAAAAATTTTTTTTTGAGTATAGATTTATATTTCTAAAGCCATCATGCAGCAATCCTCTGTTTTAACCACATGAGAGCAGTATAACTATAGAGAAACAGCTTCACTGCATAATTAATGGTGCTTGCTAATATGACTGTTTCTCATATTTAGGGTTAGGGATTTGAATAAACCACTAACCATAAGTATTATGCTTTGACGCAGAACTCATCCATACTTTTCTGAGAAATCAGAAATGTTCACCATTGAAGAAAGGATCTTAGCCAGATCTTGGATAAAGAATATATATATATATATATATATATATATATGTAAAAATATTGTTCAAAAGTTTGGGGTAATTTTTTGTTTATTAAAAAAATTGAATATTAGAATGATTTCTGATGGATAATGTGACACTGAAGCTTTGAGTAATAATTAACTGCTGAAAATTCAGTTTCAAAGATACTCACATGAGCACATGGGAATTCCCTCTAAAAGAAAGCATTTCTTTTAGCTTTGTCATGGTATCAGCAGGTATATTGATAGACAACAGTCTGTTTGAGAGTCTTCACCCCTCATTGGCTTCGTCTGTCAGTGAGGAGTCCCCCTGAACCCACAGCAATTGCTGTATGACAGGTTTAACTGTGCTGCTCTGCACACACTGACAGCAATGCTGATATAAAACCGCTTAAGGAGAAGCAATATGCTGTAGGCTAGACCCTGCTGTATACTTATATGAAATGTCATAAATCTTGTGGCATATCAATGTGTGTCAGGCCACTCACTCTTGTTTTGCAGGCAATTAAAAAGGTTCATTGTAGATTTAAAGAGTATATCTAGACATTTAAAGTGAAAAAATTATTTTCACGATATTCAGTGTCAGCCTTTTGATTCCCCCCCACCCCCCAAAAA